GTGGTGCTGCAAATATGAGGAACGGTGACAACGAGAGCGAGTCGAGGGACGATCGCTTTCCAGGCCAATTCTTCTTCGTGTCCACGCAAGCACCGGCTGGTCCAGAGAAGGATGAAGGCTTTGAGGAGCCAGCAGCTGTGGGGAAGGTCACCCTACACTCCTTGGATTATTGGGTGATCGATAGCGGTGCTACCTATAGCATGACACCTCGTGCGGACCTGCTCACCGAACTTGAGCCGTCACCGGTGAAGCATGTGACATCGGCTTTGGGGCAGCGAGCAGAGGTGAAAGGCATGGGAAAGGCTATGTTCAAGGGTGCTGATGGGAAGATGGTGGGCCTCAAGAACGTGCTTTGGGTGCCCAACCTTGTTGCCAACCTGATTTCCGTGCGGCGGTTGCAAAAGGCCGGCATGGACACGAGCTCGAAAGGGGCTAAGACCTACACCGCGAGGCTTGGCAAGTGGATTCTTTGGGACCTTCACGAGGATAGGGATGTCTACAACGAGATGTGGCAGATCCCTGTGGTCCCCATGCCTAAGGAAAGGCAAGTGGCAGCAAGCATCAGCACCAAGGGTGAAGCGGTTGGTAGCGACGATGGCGCGAACGGTCGCGCTAAGGAGATTAAGTCCAAGAAGTGCAATCTTGGAGGGACCAGCAAGCTCAGTGAACACGAGGAGATTGGTGCAGCAGCCAAGAAGCAGCACAAGGATGAGGAGAACCCCAAGGCAGCAGCACAGGTGGAGTACGGAGAGAACATGTGGGGCACTATTGCAAATGCAGCATTCTCCAATCCGACTTCGGCTACGGGGGAGTGTGATTGGCTCACCTTGCATCGGCGAATGGGGCATGTGGCCCTGCTTATCTTGCAGCAGCTAGTGAAGAATGAGATGGTTGCTGGCATACGTGTGAAGGGGGAGCCCGATGAGGTACTTGGCTGCCCGACGTGCATGCAAGCCAAGTTCACCCGTTACCCGTTCTCTAGTTCGGAGGCAACGGATAAGGCACCACTTGATGAGGTGGTGATGGACGTGGTGGGCCCCCTGAAGCTTGGAGCTGCTGGAGCTGAGTACTTTCTCACCATAGTTGATGTCTACACCTGCATGACTTGGGTGTACGTGCTGTCCAACAAGAGCGACGTGTCTGAAACGGTGAAGACCGATTGGTTGCCGATGGTGGAGCGGCAACAAGACCGGTTAGTGAAGGCAATTTGCACCGATCGAGGGGGAGATTTCCTGAGCAAGGAGTTCTCATTGTGGCTGAAGAAGAATGGCATAAGGCACTCCCTTACCATGCCATACTCCCCTGCAATGAACGGCATCGCCGAGCGAGCGAACCGCACAATAACGGAGACGGCACGCGGGTTGCTCATTGAAGCCGGGCTACCCGACTATTTCTGGCCTGATGCGGTGCGGAGTGCGTGTGTGGCCAAGAACAGAGCTTTGACTCATGTGGGAGCAGACAAATGGGTGCCCTATGTGGAGTGGATTGGAAGGAAGCCAAAGGTGGATATGCTTCGGGTGTTCGGGTGCATGTGCATGGCGCTCGTGCCTAAGCATCTTCGGCACAACAAGCTCGGTGCCAAGGCGATATGGGCTGTGCACTTGGGCATGGCTCAAAACAGCAAGGGGTGGCTTCTTTGGGACCCATTCACCAAGAAATTCTTGGTGAGCAGGGACTGCAAATTCATGGAGAATCTGATGTACAAGGATTGGAAGGCGGAGAATGAGGCGAAGATAGGCATGCGGTTTGGGGAGGTGAAGAGTTCCGGTTTGGAGCATGTGGAGCTGCCTCTGGAGCTGAGCAGCGGCAGCACCACCACAAGGCAATCTTCCCTTGTGAATGGGGGAGAGGAGGCCAAGGATGGAGAGGAAGAAGAGGAGGAGGTGCAGCAAGTGAGCGAGCGTGCACCGACACTTCCTTCTCGCACAACGAGTGCTCCACGGATCCGAGTCACTCCGCAGCAACGCCAAGGCCTTCATGTCCCTGTAGCTGAGGAGGAAGGAAGAGGCAAGAGGAGAATCCAAGCCCCTAATAGGCTGACCTATGAGGCACTGGGAAAGCCAGCCAAGTCAGCCTTGGCCGGAGCGGCACTTATAGTTGGAGATGACGAGGAGTGTGACTACGAGGAGTGTGCCTTCGCGTTCTTCTCTCCGATGGAGATTCCGGGGGAACCAGCAACTCTCAAGGAGGCCTTGGAGAGTAGTGATGCTGAGAAATGGAAGAAGGCAATGGAGAGTGAGTTGAAGAGCATTGAGGAGAACGGCACGTGGGAATTGGTGGAGCTACCAGAGGGGCGTAAGGCGATTACGTCCAAGTGGCTCTTCAAGATCAAGTCCGACACCGACGGCAAAATCGAGCGCTACAAGTCTAGGCTTGTGGCCAAGGGGTACCAGCAGAAGGAGAAGGTAGACTATAAGGAGTTGTTTGCTCCTGTGGTGAAGCCGACGACGCTGAGAACCCTACTCGCGGGTGCTGCCATCAAAGGATGGGTGGTGAAACAAATGGACGTGACAACCGCGTTCTTCAACGGCATTCTCGAAGAAGAGATTTTCATGGCGCAGCCAGAGGGGTTTGATGATGGTAGTGGCAGAGTGTGGAAGCTGAAGAAGGCGCTCTATGGGCTCAAGCAAGCCCCTAGGCAGTAGTACTTGAAGCTGCGTGAAGTTTTGGAGGAGATCGGGTTCACTCCCTCATCCGCCGATCATTCCTTGTTCATGCTTGGCGAGGGGGAGCAGAGGAGTTTCATGGTGGTTTATGTGGATGACATCCTCATTTTCTCACCCTCCTCTGACCTTGTGAAGGAGGTGATGCTGAAGCTTCAAGACAAGTTCAAGTGCAAGGCCCTTGGTGACGTGAGCTTCTACCTCGGGCTTCACATTGAACGCGATGTGGAGAAGCGGTGCATGCGGGTGCATCAACGGAAGTACCTGGAGGCATTGGCTGCCAACTTTGGGCAGAGTGATGGCCATGTGGCTACACCCTTTCCCACTGGGTTCAAGTGTGTGAAGGGACCAGAGGAGGAGAGTGTTGGATAAGAGGAGAGGCGCCGTTTCCACTCGTTGGTGGGCAGCCTCATGTACGCGGCGGTAAACACCCGACCGGACGTCGCCTTTGCAACCGGACAGTTGGCTACGGTTGTTCAATGCCCTAATGAGGAGCAGGTAGCTACTAGAATGAGGGTGGTCAAGTATCTTGGCCAAACAGCGACGGTTGGGCTGCAATACTCGACGGCGGCGCAAAGGCGCCAAAAGGGTGCGGATGGTGTTGAACCCGGGCGTTTGTTCCTCACCGCATTCTCGGATGCTTCTTATGCATCGGAACCAGAGGACATGACAAGTTTTGGAGGGTTCATTTGCTGTGTTGGTGGAGGCCCAACTGCTTGGGAGAGCAAGAAGCAGGTGGATCAAGCATTGAGCTCGGTGGAGTCAGAGTACATGGCACTCTTCCGTGCCGTACGGGAGATTGTGTGGCAGCGGCGTTTGTTGGCTGAATTGGGGGAGGAGCAGCAAGGACCTACCCCACTTTACTGTGACAGCCAGGGTGCCATTGCTCTTGCTAAGAACCCTGTGTTGCATGGCCTCACGAAGCACATGAGGGTGAAGTGGCATTGGACGAGGAGCATAGTGGCCGCAGGTGAAGTTGAGTTGCGCTACGTAAAGACGACGAGGCAGCCAGCTGACATGATGACCAAGAGGCTGGTGGAGCAGCAGCATTGGAAGTGTTGCAAGCTGGCTGGGATGGCTCTGAACTGAGAGAGCAAGTTTCTAAGGCCAACAATCCGAGGGGGAGTTTGTTGGTGCAACCCTACGGTTTGCATTCGGCTTGTTGTCCGTGTGCGTGCATGCGTGTGTGCATGGAATGGTATGAGGGCATGAAATAATATATATTTTATGCTTACCATAGTGTGTGAATGATGAGGCATGACTTTGAATGTGTGTGTCGAGTCAATAGCGAGTTATCGCTAGTCGCATGTGACGTCGTTGTTTGCGTGTCGTGTGCGGTTCTCTATTTTGTCGTGTGTGGAACGTTCGGCGTGTCGCAGGTGTGCGCAGCAGAATTCCAAGAACTCAAGGAAGATTTTATCTTGAAGAACCAGAGCCTTGGTTTCAAGATTCAAGTGATTTTGAAGCTCTCCAAAAGGGTAAACTTTAAGATAGTGAGAATAGTTGCATTACTTTGTGTAGTGTAACATTTCTCTTGGTGTAGGCCCTTGTGGAGGGTAGTTTCGAGACCCTTCGTGGTTGAGGACAGTGTGGCACTGTTCCACATCACTGTACCTCAGCTCTTGGGGTTTGTAGGAGCTGGGAGTCATTCCCAACTCGTAACTCTTCCTATCTTGTGTTCTAAGACTATAGTGGCTGCCATAGTGCCGTTCGTTCAAACCAACGTTGCGTCCTCAATACTTTCTGAAATCGTGTGATTTAAATTGCCTATTGTAGGCGACATCAAGACGCTCCAGATCCAATTTATAGCAAGTCGTTTGAAGCTGTGAGCAGAACGCTATCAACGTTTGAAGCCGCTGTGCAGAAATCCGACTGTGCACTCTATCTTTCGTTTTAGGCACATTCAAGCCTATTGTGACTATAACAACCCTAACAAGCTTTTGAAATCGCCCCCTCTGGAAAATCGCGCTTGGGGTCGGGTACCTTGCTCTCGCCTTTCTCTGCCGAGTAGGAAGTGAGTGTTCATTTATTCAACAAACAGCATCCACCATGCCTCAGTTGCATAATCTGAAAGGGCGAGGCCTGGGCGAGTGAGATGGCTGAGGCTGAGGCGAGGTCTCAGTCTCGACCACTTCGAGTATAGGGAATGCGGCGAGTATTTACTTGCTGCTTGCTCATGTGCACTTGGATTGTATCGCAGTCCTGTCCCTTCTCTTCTTGTTTGAGTCCTTATTTACCTCCATGCGCCCTCCTCCACCCGATTCCGACATGCCACAGTGCCATCCACTCTGGGCATCCTGCAGTAAGCAGATTTAGGGCTGAACTCGAGCAACTCAAATGGCTGTAGGTGGGGAGACAAATTCGATAGCTGAAGCAGTGAAAGGGCTGTTCCGATTGGTGAGAGGGGAGCTGGCAGCACTGAAGGGGGAGCTCGCAGTAGTGAGGGAAGAGGTGGGCCGACAGAATGAGCGAGTGTTGATGCTGGAGGAGAGGAATCAGGTTTTGGAGAATGAAGTGAATGCGTTGAGGCGTGCACTGGGTGCTGTGGGCGAGAGGAGTGAAGTGACTGCTGCTGTGGTGGAGAAGAGGGAGAGAGCAGAGAAAGAGGAGCTGATTGGAGTGCAGGAGGATTTGACAGCAATGAAGGGGGAGGTAAATGCAGTGAAGGGGGAGGTAAATGCAGTGAAGGGGGGGTTGAGTGCAGTGAACAGGGATTTGGCTGAACACAAGAATGTTGTTACTAGAAGAGTATCGGATATGAGAGTACTGCGAGAGGAGATTAGGAAGCGAGAGCAAGAAATTAGAGTGGAACTGGCAAAGGAGAGGGAGGAGAGGAGGAGGGAGGTGCAGGAGTTGAATTGGCCACGTGCCATGAAAGAATTGGCAGCCTGCAAGGAATGGCAGAGGATACAAGACCTGAAGATGAATGTTGAGCTGGAAATAAGGCAGAGTGAAGGCTATCGGAAGTTTGCATGGGAGGTGAGTGCTGAGTGGAACTGTTTAAGAGGGAATGTGTTGTTTGGTATTGTCACGATTGTCATTTCTTTTCTCGTGATTCTTTCCCTATTCAACCACTACCTCCAGAGAATCAAGTAAGCATCACAAGGAACACTTCTGAGTTTATGGAATCTCTGCGGTCTCTCAGATGACATCCTCAGCCATATGTCAACCATGACGCATCTGGAGTACATGAACTTGCATTGTAGCTCAGGCATCAGTGCAGAGGGCATGAAGCACCTCTACAGGCTGCCACGGTTGTGGATGCTAGACCTCAGAGGCACAGACGTCTCAGACAGTGCCTTGGAAGGCATCGAGGCCATGCCCAGTCTCAAGCGGCTCTATCTCCATCATACCAAGGTGACCGATGCTGGTCTGGAACACTTGACAGCTCTTTATTCTCTCAAATTTTTGGGGCTTGGTGAATGCAAAAGTGTGACAAATGCTGGCATGGTGCATGTGGTAAGTTTGACAGGGCTTGTGGAACTCTGGCTGGATGGCACGGCAGTCACGGATGATGGGCTCCAGCAGCTGACTGCCCTGACCAAGCTGACAACTCTCCGGCTGCCAAGTGGGGATTTGGTTTCCAATGAAGAATTGCACAGGCAGAGAGGCAGGCAGTGTAAGAGGGAGTGATGGAGTGGAGGGAGGCCGTGTGAGGGCGGAGTTGGAAGTGACTATTCAAAAGGGAGAGGAATGGACTCAAGATGTGTGAAGAATGATGAGTGAAGACAAGAAGGGTTATGCTGTGCAAGGAGTAGGAGTAGCAGGGTTATGCACATATCGGACCCCACAGGGTGTATGCATGAAGATGCAGCGGCTTGCTGGAGGCTGTTGTGTTGGCTGGGCTGGGTGGCGTGCTGCAGCATTGACTTGTGCCTATCACACTCAACCTCTTGCAGGGCGCCTTAGGCAAGATGGAACAGTTATGCAAGGGGAGGCATTCCTGGATAGTCTTGGGTGCAATGTGTGTAATGCAATAGCCCTTTATTGAGCCTATCGTCTCTAAAACAAACATATGCATGTCTGATTCGTCTCCACGTTTCTCAAAGGGGGCATGAATGAATGTTCTAAAAGTTACTTGTGCGTTGTCTGGGAAGCAGGGCATGATGCCTGGACGGAGGGCAGAAGTGAGGCAGTAGGACTGTGTGAGCAGGGCAGAGGTCATGCAATCTGCTGCATCGCCCGTCCATCTTTTCCACTGCCTTTTTCCCGCTCTCCCTTCTGCTTGTGCATTTAAAGGCATGCTGGAACCATGCTCCCATGCTCCCATGCTCCCATGCTCCCATGCTCCCATTCTCCCATTCTCCCATTCTCCCATGCTCCCATGCTCCCATTCTCCCATTCTCCCATTCTCTCATGCTCCTATGCTCCCATGTTCCCATCCCATGCTCTCTTGCGAGTGTTCTCACTCTTCCATGCTCCCATGCCCTCATATTCGCTTTCTCTCATGCTCATATGGTATCTTTATCACATTCTCACATGCTCCCATGCTCCCGTGGTCTCTTTCCTCATCCTCTCATGATCCCCTGCTCCCCTGCTTCCATGCTCCGAACCGAAGCTCCCATTCTCCCATGCTCCCAAGTTCAGACGCATTGTGTTGCCTGAGGGGCAGGGCATGATGCCTAGGCTAAGACTGAGGGTAGAAGTGAAGTAGAAGGAAATAGGACTGTCTCCTTGAGTAAAGGGCAGAGCTCGTGCATGTTGCTGCATCACCCACCCACATTGTCCATTGCCTTCTCCCTCCGCAGACCCATGGGAGCACGGGTGCTCGGGTGCACCCACCCGTGCACCCCTGCACACACCCACGCACCTATGCTCCTATGCACACGCCCATGCATGCACCCATGCACGCACGCACCCATGCATGCACCCATGCACGCACCCATGCACCCATGCACGCACGCACCCATGCACCCATGCTCATCGTAATGAAATGAACGCATTACCGTGTCATGGCAGCAGGCAGGTTGGTGTGCCAAAGTGCAAACTGGTCACAAACGAATTTCAAACTCCACGTGAAAATATAGAGAGATGGGAGGCAGACCCATGTTGCTGCATCACCCACCCACATTGTCCATTGCCTTCTCCCTCCGCAGACCCATGGGAGCACGGGTGCTCGGGTGCACCCACCCATGCACCCCTGCACACACCCACGCACCTATGCTCCTATGCACACGCCCATGCATGCACCCATGCACGCACGCACCCATGCATGCACCCATGCACGCACCCATGCACCCATGCACACACGCACCCATGCACCCATGCTCATCGTAATGAAATGAACGCATTACCGTGTCATGGCAGCAGGCAGGTTGGTGTGCCAAAGTGCAAACTGGTCACAAACGAATTTCAAACTCCACGTGAAAATATAGAGAGATGGGAGGCAGGGTGCTGGCCAGGCACATGGCTTTATCACATGCCATGGGTGAAGTAGGCTTCTCAGCTGACGGCAGGCAGGGGGACATGCCAATGCGGAGGTGAGAGAGGCCGTGTGCCAATTCTGAATCTCGCACCCTGTCTCTCTACTTCCATCCATTTCTGCTGCTCAAGCCTCTCTCCTTTTGTGGCTTCATCGATCCATACACGCCCAGTATGGTGATTCTGGTCTGGTGCTAATCTATTCATGAAAGAATGAATCTGGGCTTTTGCCCCGACCCTGTTTGCCCTCACTCCGACTCCCACCCACCCCCTTCAATCTCCCCAACCAGCAGCACTTGTCCTGGGCTAACTGTGAGGGGCCCACTGCCATACACGGTTAGCCAGCTCACACACACTGCCAAGCTCATCCCTACCACACACTGCCGGACAGCTTGGCAGAGCCACTGCTGCAGCAACAGCAGTGGTGGTTGTGAAGTCGGTTAGCGACGAGTGCATGAATTGGGCAGGAACGGAGTGTGGGAGAGAAGATCGAGGCAGCAAGCTATTCCTGCTCATGCCTGCCATGAATGAATGAAGGTGCGTTGAACATGTTTGTAGTGCTCCATCTGCAGAGTAGAGTGATACTCATGGTTAAGACTGAAAAGAAACTTTGGTTGAGGTGGAGTCATGAATTTGATTGTGGCCCTCACTTTGCAACCAACGCACCCATTCTTCTACCAACCAGTTATATTTTCGCTTCTTTCTTTCTACATCCATCAGCCCTCCAGCACCCCTCTCTTCCTCCCATACTCCCCTCCATTACACTTCCCCCCCTTAAACAAATCCCTTTCCCGCCTTTAACTCTCTTCTCTTAGTTTGACCAATTGCCTGGTCTAACTGTTTCCGGTCAGACCTGAATCAGCCTAGGTCAAATTGGGTCGGGCCAGATAACGAATCAGGCTGGAACCATTACGCTCCTGTGTTGATTCTGTATATTTGCCCCTGATCTCTTCCTCTCCTCCCACTCCCCCCCCCCCCCCCCCCCTTCCCCTCCCCTCCCACCTCCCCCTCCGTCTTGGAGGTTGGGTGATGGTGGCATATGCTGCCATCTGCACTCAAATCGCATTTCCAAAAAATCTATGCCCATCCCCTCCAGCCCCACTTTTGCTTCCCCTGCCCTCCTCCAGCTGATTCTAGCAGTTGCCTTGCCACGATGGCATGGCGAGGAGGGAGGTGAGACAGGTGAAGGGAGCCCCCCTCCCTTCTCCTTCCTCCCTTCAACACCCATCCGTCCTCCTCACCCCCCTTACCTTTTCATCTCGTATCCCTTCTACCACTCCCTCCCTGCCATATCCCCGTTCCTCCCCTCATCTCCCCATTCCCCATCTCCAAGTTCTCCATTCAACCATCGCACCCGCTTTCAATTCAACCCCCTATCTCCATATCAGGACCTCCTCCTCTGCCCGAGGTTAACCCTCCAATCTGCTCCCCCACAAACCCAACCAAGCAGCAGCATCATAGCCATTGCACCGTCAGACAACCCCCTATTCTCCCACATGAACTACACCTGGACAATTCACTCTCCTTCACCACCCCCCATGCTCCACCCACCTGCCTGCATTCAACTTAGCTTCTCAACCCCTTCATGCCTGTGGCCACAGCAGCAGCGGCAGCAGTGGTGGCAAGAGCGGCACAAAATGGGCAAGGGGGGGATGGGGGGTTTGAGAGAGGGGAGCATGAGAACTTCGCCCATGCACTGCTGGAGGAGCAGCTGCCCAATCCACACCCCCGCTTTACTGTTGTAGCAGCATCAGCAGAGGTTGTGTCTGTAGCAACTCCCTCTCACTGCCATCAGCTCTATAGCTTTTCCTTCCTATCCTCTCCGAGTCCCTTCCAGCCATCAGCAGCCCATTCATGCAACACCATCGTGCCATGCCCGTCACTTCACCTCATCTCACACTCTTTCATCTGATATGTGCATAAACGAAGTGTTCCTCCCCATCTCTGGGTATCCTCTCTCTAGCTGCTTCTGTCAGTTGCCTTGCCATGATGGCTTGCATGGAGGGAGGTCAAGTACCGTAATCACCCAGACATACCACCCGCCGAAATTGTAGACCCCCCGAGTGGCTTGTGCGGGGTGGGTGTTATAGTTGACCCCGTTTGTACTATACCCCCCCTTTTGGGGTGATTTTTTTATAACACCCCCTTTTTTACACAGAATGCCTTATTTTAGGTGTTAACGAGTATGTGCAATGACGGGGGGACATCGCGACGATCACTTTTTGCACGAAATTACATGGTAATTTCGAAAGTATCTGCTGGGGTCACCTCCGTCCCACTTTTTCACTGTTGCCACGCTGGTAGTTCTTTCGCTATCAAGTGGCCAAAGAGGTGCCACCTCGCAACTTCAAGGAGGAGTCAATGTTGTCGTCGAAACTGACAATCTCGCTTCCAACTGCGATGCTAAACCAACCTTGAAAACACCCAAGCTGCCTATTTATAGAAACCCTTACACTAAAAAAATGTCATATATATGCACCCGGGTGGTATGTAGCTTTTTCCTATGAGAAGCCCCCCCCCATTTTTTTGCTGTATTTAAAGTGAGACCCTAGGGTGTTATGTCCGGGTGATTACGGTAGCCAAGTATATCGAGTGCTCTGCTTCACCCATGTCATTTTTTTTCACAATTTCATCCCAGCGAACACTATACTGTCTTAATGACTCAACTAAAAAGAAGAAATGAATTTGTGAGATTTATTTATTGGTCCTGCTCAATATGATTCTAGCGACAATGTTTTACAACAGAATCAATTGCAACTCTCGCTCTATATCTCAGTCACATCCTAGGCTAGGCTATGCTGCCCTCCTTCCTTACAACCCTTGCCTCCACAACTCTCCTCAGTCTCCCCTATACAGTCACAGTCAACTCTTCCATCACTTCACCTCCCTTTTATCATCGCTCCCTGCCACCAAGCTGCCTATCCGCCTGCGTGCATCATTGTTCACATGCATCGGGCACAGAAAGATGTTACCTTGGTCAGGGCAGTCAGCTGCTGCAGCCCATCATCCGTGACTGCCGTATCATCCAGCTCAAGTTTCTCAAGCCCTGTCAGCTTTGCCAAGTGCACCATGCCAGCATCTGTCACACCCTTGCATCCTGAAAGCCCCAGCCATGTTAGAGAGGACAGACCTGTCAAGTGCGGCAGACCAGTATCAGTCACCTTGGTATGATGGAGACAAAGGTATTCAAGACTGGTCAAGGACTCAATGCCTTCCAAGGCACTTTCTGAGACGCATGTGCGCAAGAGGTCAAGCTCCACCAGCCAAGGCAGCCTGTAGAGGTGTCTGATGCTCTCTGCACTGAAGCCTCTGCTCCGCCCCAAGTGAACGCTCGTGAGAAGGGTCATGGTGGAGACATGGCCGATGATGTCATCTGAGAGAGTAAAGAGATTCTGCAGGTCCAACATGGTCGCCTTGTCCCATGATGCTAACTGGATTGCCTGGAGGAAATAGGTGGGAGGGAAGACATGACAAAGGAATGGATGACCATGGTAGAAAGAAAGAACGAGCAAGCAATGAATGTCGTCACCTGAGAAACGATTCACTCACCAGCCATGCAGTCTTCTCATCGCCTTCAGTGTGCCGGATTCTCAGTTCAACGTTCTTCTTGACCTTCTTCCCGTGCAAACTCCGATATCATATCTTGCATTCTCTTTCTTATATTCCCTTTCAACCCACTTACATACATCCAATGGCCTATTACTCTCAACCCTTTGCTCCTTGTGTTTTCCCAACTCCCCCTTAACCACTGCCAACTCCCCCTTCACCACTGCCAACTCCCCCTTCACCACTGCCAACTCCCCCTTCACCACTGCCAACTCCCCATTCACTGCTGTCAGCATGTGCCGTGACTCATCCACCTCCTCCTTGTGTGCAGCCAGCTCCTCTCTAACTGCTGCCAGCACCGCCTCTTTCATCAAATCATTCACTGCACTCGTCACGCTCTCACTAGCCATATCATCCACTGGACTCTTCCGCAATAGCCCACCCTTTCCCCAACACACCACCTCCTTCACTGCAGCCTGGCGAAAGTAGACAAGGGCTGGGAATGGTGGGGTTGGGTGGGGTAGGATCAGACGCAAAGAGGAAGACGGCGATGAGTGCACACACAAAGAAATACTCGCATGGGCATGAGGAATGAGGCATAATGTGAGTTTGAGAAGAGCTGAGTGGCGAAATAAGATGGAGGCATGACCACAAGACGTTGGGAGAAAGATTCAACACACGTAAGCAGCGAGAAAGGCTTGTGCACACACATATGCAGCTGGCATGAATTTAGAAGGCAGCGGAGCAGGGAGGAGGAGCAGAGCAGACATATATGTACCCACACTTTCTTGAACAGAACCAACACTTGCGTTCTTAGTGATGTGAAATGATTCACTACAAGTTACGAGCCACGAATGACACGGACACTAGGGGCTGGCACGAGTGGGGATTTGCTGGTTAACAGGGGTGCTGGCACACAATGGGCTGGCACACAGGGTGCTGGCACACAGAGGGCAGCAGCATGTACTGGTTCTTTGTTCATATTTAGGAATTCAGTGGCTTCTCCTGGAAAGGAATGAAGCGCGGTGAGCTGGCGCTTTGCGGGGAGTCCACACCTGAGGTGCAACGCTGCGCACCCCCCGTAAAACCCACCCCTGGGGTGTTGATTGTGTAGGTGGTTGTGGTATTTTGCTCTAGCTGGTTGTGGGCTAAGGGTTTGGGCAAAATATGATTTGATCTCGCACCAAACAAGCACCAACAAACCTTTGCTACCCACTACAACACCTTTGGTGTTGCTAGTTTGGCACTTTGGGTTGTTGGGGATTGTTGTATGGCGAGGGTTGGGATGGTCGGGTTTGATAAACTCATCTATAAGTGAGGGAAGTGGAGGTGGATCAGCAGCACCGCGAACCGGAAGGCACCGGCTTAGTGCGGAGGAGCTACTTAAGGCACAGGAAGCATGGGACCGCAAGGACAAGCAAGCGTTCCAGTACCTGTGTTGGGCTTTGGAAGGCCAACTAGAGCTCCTAAAGATGCTGATTGACCTGAAGGGGAAGCAAGGAGCAGCTGCCCAAGCATGGAAGAGAGTTCAAGATCGACATTTGCAAAAAGGGTTGCTAAGCATACTCACCTAGAGGAAGCGGTTCTACACCATGGAACGCAACTATGGTGATGGAAAGACCATAGTGCAGTATCTCCAGAGGGTGGATGAGTATGTCAGGGCCTTGGAGGAGTTGAACTACAAAGTAGATGAGAAGGAGATTATCTACACCGCACTCCAGGGGCTGGACCAAGAGGCGAACGAGGCCCTACTGCAGTACCTTCACCTTGAGCAGCAGAAATGGACCAAGGCCTGGATATGGGAGGTTTTGGTTTCTGATGAGGCTCGCAAACGTGATGCTGGAAGAGGAATTGAAGGGGGAATGGGGGCAGGTGATAGGGCTGCCTCCAAGAAGTACCGGCAGCGGCAAGGAGGTGGGGGGAAGACGAAGGAGCTCGACAAGTGCCTCGTCCCTGGATGCAACCAGAAGCACTCTTGGAAGGAGTGTTGGAGCCGACCAGATGGGTGGAAGCCTCAAGGGTACCCAGGAGAGGCTCCACCTGTCACTAGGCCTGAGTGGGTGGAGAGGAAGATGAAGAATGGAGCATGGAACAAGAAGGGCAGCAAAGAGAAAGCGGCAGCAGCAGCGGCAAACAAGGATAAGAAGGGAAAGGAGGACTCATCGGATGATGGCTTCTCCTTCTTATCCTTGGAGAACGAGACGGCGCTTGCTGGTCGTGAGTTGGCTGACCCCAATCAGCTCATTCTAGACTCTGGGGCAACCTGTAGAATGGTACCTCGGCGCGACCTCTTCACCACCTATCACTCCCTCCCACCTAACTCCAGAAATGTGATTGTGGGGAGCGGAGATACGCTGCAAGCAATCGGCATCGGCACCATCACCGTCAAGGGGAAGGAGGGGGAGGTGCTGAATGTGAAGGGTGTGCTTCATGTTCCTGGATTGGCAGCCAACCTTCTCTCATGCTCTCAACTTGCGAGACAAGAATACATATGCACCTTCACCATTGGAGGGTGCACGGTTCGCAAGGGTGGAGCTGTGGTGATGGAGGCCAAGTTAGAGAAGGGTTTATACCTTGTTCCAGTGTGTGTGCCTCACGTGGTGAAGGCACATGGGGTTGAAGCTGAGGATGCCGCTTGCAGCACCCATTGGAGGGACGTGGAGCAGGTGACGGCAGATTTGCTGCAACTACGCATGGGGCATGCGGGAAGGCAGCAACTTGTGGAGTGTGTGAAGAAGGGGGAGCTGAAGGGTGTGGAGATCAAGGAGGGTGGTGGGCAGCCAAGCAAGTGCCCTGATTGCATGACCGGGAAGCTGCCAAGGACCTCATTCCCTACCTCCACCACTAGAGCCTCCGCACCTCTTGAGTGCACACGGATGTGTGTGGCCCCATGCAAACACCGGATAGGGAGAAGGGCAGCAAATACTTCATCACCTTCTTGGATGACTTCAGCCGCCTAAGTTGGGTTACCTTGGTGAAAACCAAGGATGGGGTGGCCAAGGTCTTCAAGCGTTGGATACGCTATGTGGAGAGGGAAGCCGGGGCCAAGGTGAAAATACTTAGGTCTGATTGGGGTGGGGAGTACATGGGGAAGGATCTGGAGTCTTTCCTTGAAGACAAGGGCATCACCCACCAGCTTTCAGTTGCCTACACGCTGCAGCAAAATGGGGCAGCGGAGAGGCTAAACTGGACCCTCATTGACCTTGCCCGAGCCATGCTTGCTCATGCGCAGCTGGACCATACTTGGTGGGGGGCAGCAGTGCAATATGCCAACTGGGTTAAGAACCGGATGGGCAGCAAGGGGCTAGAGGGCAAGAGCCCATACTTCATGTGGACCAGGAAGGTGCCTAGTGTGTCGATGGCCCGACCGTGGGGGTGCATGGCGCAGTACAAAGTGCCCGACCAGCAACGGAGGAAGCTGGATCCTAAGGCACAATGGGGCATTTTCCTTGGGGTGTCGGAGAGGAGCAAAGCTTGGATGTTGTGGAGTGTGGCGGTTCAGCGGGTGGTGGAAAGCCGAGATGTGGTTTTCCACGAGGGGCTGAGCTACAAGGGGTGGAAGAAGCATGGTGCTAGTACAGTTGCGAGCTCCTTCCAGGATCCTTACACCTCTTCCATCTTTGAGGGGGCATGGGAAGACCCTGGAGAGGAGGTACAGGAGCAGCAAGAGGAACAAAAGGCAGCTGCACCTCACCATGAGGAGTCACCAACTGCTGGTTCTACCCCTGACCCGAACGCACCAGCCCATGACCCGGAGCAGCCACAGGGGCAGCAGCAACAACAAGAGAAGCCGCAGCAGCCACCACAGCAGCATACACCGCCTATTCCTGTGGGTAGGTGGCAGCAACAACTGCAGCAGCAGCTGTCCAAGTCACCACGGTCCCCCATGAAGAGAGTGACTTGGAGGGAGAAGCTGCAAAGTTTGGAGCAGGGGGAGGCATCACCTCTGCGCCGCACCACACGCATCTCCCGGCCACCTGAGAGGTTCACACCAAGTGCACAGTATGCTTGCATGCATGATCATGAAGTGCATGATTTGGAGGAGTGCATGCTTGTGGATGCTGATGGGGGTGCGCATGGACTTGATTTTTGTCTTATGGGTCAGGTACATGAGCCTAAGTCAGTTAAGGAGGCCTTGTCCCGTCCTGAGTGGGTCGAGTCCATGCGCGAGGAGCTTGAGTCTCATAAGGTGAACGAGTCCTTTAAGCTGGTTGATCCAGCTTGTGTGCCACCTGGTATGGAGGTCTTGAGGTGTCAGTGGGTGTGGAAGTACAAACACAAGGCTGATGGTAGCATTGAGAGGCCTAAGTCCAGGTTGGTGGCCATGGGGAACACTCAAACACGGGGTGTTCACTATGACCAGGTGTTTACTCCGGTGGGTAAGCCTACTACCCTGAGAGGCTCCCTTGGGATGGCAGTTTCCTCGGGGTTTCACATCCATCACATGGATGTGACCACTGCTTATCTTCATGGGGTCTTGAAGGAGGAGCTTTACATGAGGCAGCCCCCTGGTTTTGATGATGGGTCCGGCAGAGTTTGCCGACTCAGAAAATCAATCTATGGGCTTAAGCAAGCTCCAAGGCAGTGGTACCTCAAGTTTGATGAGGCGCTGATGGATTTTGGCTTTGAGAGGTCTGAGTGTGACCCTGCCTTGTACCACTTGGTGAGGGATGAGGGCAGGTTGTCCCTTTACCTCTATGTGGATGACATTCTGCTCATGTCTTCGAGCATGGTCTTGCTGGACGAGGTGAAGAGTCTCTTGTCCTCTTGTTTCCGCATGAAGGACTTGGGGGAGGCTAAGTACTATTTGGGGGTGCAGATTGAGCGTGATGAGAGTGGCATCTTGATTCATCATGAGAGGTACATTCTCAACATGCTTGAGTCCTTTGGCCTTTCTGAAACTACACCCGCGCGTACCCCTCTCCCTACAGGGTTCGACGTGTATGCACATGCTGAGGAGCCCTTGCTGAGAGATGAGCTGGTCCAGCTCTATCAAAGCATTGTGGGGTCTCTCATGTATGCAAGCACGACCACACAGCCCCAGATTGCTCATGCCGTGTCACAGCTGTCCAAGGTGGTGTCTTGTCCCAAGACATTTCACCTACAGGCTGCTAAGAGAGTGCTAAGGTACCTGAAAGGTTGTGTCAAGTCAGGTATCTTCTACCCCGCACACAGCAAGCCTCAAGTTGAGTTGGTGGGCTTTAGTGATGCTGATTATGCTGGAGATTCAGCTGATCGCAAGAGTCACACCGGCTATGTCTATTGCCTTAATGGTGCAGCCATCTCTTGGCAGAGCAAGAGGCAGCCGGTGGTTGCATTGTCCACCACTGAGAGTGAGTACATTAGTCTGTGTCAGTGCATTCAGGAAGGTGTGTGGCTGAAGCGTTTGTTTGGGGAGTTCGGGCATGAGTTTGATGGTGGTGTGCCTCTGTTTGTGGACAACCAGTTTGCTATTGCCCTTGCACAGAATGCATGCTTGCATGGCCGCACCAAGCACATGCAGGTTCGGTGACATTTCATCAGGGAGATGGTGGCAAGCGGCGAGGTGATCCTCCGGTGGTGCCCAACCAACCGTCAGGCAGCAGACATACTCACCAAACCCCTTCCTTTTGAGCGGCACGGTATGTGCATGTCCTTAATGGGGATGCAGCCCCATGTTGGCATGGTGCTTGAGCACGATGTGGGAGGGCTGGTGCTTCTCTGCCTTAACAACATCATGCTGTGGATGGCGCCCCTCCCTGGGCAAGGGGGGGTGGAGTGAAGGATTTTGCTCAGTGGTGTTCAGCCACCTCCAGCACGAGCAACGGGGAGTGTTGATTGTGTAGGTGGTTGTGGTATTTTGCTCTAGCTGGTTGTGGGCTAAGGTTTTGGGCAAAATATGATTGCTAGACTTGTTCCGGGCTTTGATCTCGCACCAAACAAGCACCAACAAACCTTTGCTACCCACTACAACACCTTTGGTGTTGCTATTTTGGCACTTTG